TCTGCTGTAATTTTCTTTTTGTGACCGAGGAAAAGAGGACACAGTGTCCTTACCGTTGTGCTGCTACTGATACTTCAGTGAGCTTTCTTTGTCGTTGACTGCAGCCTGTCTGTCAACAACACTGAGCAGAGAAATAACAAAGCACCTATCTGTCAAGCCCACTGCTCTCAGTTTTGCCAAATAATGCCACCAATGCCAGCAGACCTCTACAGCATGCCAGTCACCCAGAAACCCGAGGCAGGGGCCTCTAAAGGCGGTGGCTTCCCACTAAACGCCACTATGACAAGGCATTTATAAAGAATCGAAAGCTGATTAAAGTCCATTTATTTACAGGATAATGGCAGAGTTTTGTCTGCAATAGTGACGGCATTTGGAATCGCACCAAATGAGGGTCAACTACAGCTGGCGGGGCTTCAAAGCAAAGCTGCAGTGAAGCGTTTAGAGTTGGATCGCCAGCTCCTCGGAAAATTCCACTGGGTCTCTGCAGGCCTGCGCGTTTAGGATTCGCCGTTATCACCTGCGTTATTGTTAATATTCCAGTAACTGCAAATGTTTCTGTAACACACAATTGCTTCCAGTCAGATATTTGTGGTTTTGCATTAGTTCTTTTTAAAAGGAAATCAAACACTATATGTTTGCTGATTGTAAAAGCACTTAGGTGGTCTATACATCCATACATGCTCAGGCAGCCTCTAAATTTCATGTTTAAATGTTATAAAATACTGAAAAGTAACCTGAGCACCAGGTTACTGCAGTAATAGAACCGGTTTTTTTTTTGTAGGGGGAAACCCTAGGGCAGTACGGTGGCACGGTGGTTAGCAAGAAGGTCCTGAGTTCAATTCCACCATCACGCCGGGGTCTTTCTGTCTGGAGGTTCCATGTTCTCCCCGTGTTTGCGTGAGTTCTCCCCGGGTACTCTGGCTTCCTCCCACAGTCCAAAGACATGCAGTTAGTGGGGATAGGTTAATTGGAAACACTAAATTGCCCATAGGTGTGAATGTGAGGTCGAATGGTTGTCTCTGTATACAGTATGTGTTAGCCCTGCGACAGACTGGCAACCTGTCCAGGGTGTACCCTGCTTCTCGCCCTAAGACAGCTGGGATAGGCGGATGAATGGATGGAAAAAACCCAACAGATACCACTGGGATCAAAATGAGGTTTCAGAAAAGGGTAATTAATCTCAGATAAGTTATTTTCTCTAGAGTTTGTTTCACTGAGTTTGTACTTTTGGAGTAAATAGTTGCATTTATTTATTAATATGACACATTTATAGAGAGGTGTTAAAGTCTTAATGTACAAAAGTATATACTAATATCTGAAAAATCCAGAAGAGGTGGTGACCACACTGAGCAGTTTCACAGAACTGTGGAGTCCTGTGAAAAACTAGCTACACGCTGTGACTCAATAACTTGTAGAACAACCATCATTCATTGTGGAGGAATTCTGACTCACTCTAATCTACAACTTTTCTGCAGTTTTAGTTGTCTTTTGCGCAGCTCTCTTAAGGCCTGGCTATAGCGTTTCAGTAAGTTTGAGGTCTGTGCTCAACCAAAGCAGCTTGCTGCTGTGCTTGCGATTGGGCCAGGCTGTAGCCCATGGTTGACTCAGGCTACGTCCACACTAATACGTTTTCGTTTGAAAAACGTTTTCTCTCTGTTTGGCCTCCCGTCCAAACTGAGACGGCGTTTTCACTCATGGAAAACGAGGCGTTTTGAAAACGCTGTCGAAAACACATACATTTGAAAACGGTGCTTTTGCGTTGCAGTGTGGACACTCGAAAACGGAGACTTTCTAAAACGATGATGCATGTTAGTCATATGATGCAGTCATGTGACCAATTAAACTAAGATAGCAGAGGGCATTATACAGCAGCTGTTTTGTTTGCGGTCAGTTTTGACAGCCCTATTAAAGATTAATATCAGTCTGTACATACTCCAGGTAGCTTTTCTTCAAAGTTTTTAACTCTCACTCGCTTTTGCAACTTTGTATTTTTGTGTTACTCGCAGCAACAACTCCACCTCATTGTTAGTGCGCAGTACTGGAACGTAAGCGTTTTGGGCTGTTTCAATGTGGACGCACAACTCTGAAAATGATGGAAAACGATGGTGTGGATTTGTTTTCAAATCTATCCGGGCTAGTGTGGACGTAGTCTCAGAGAGTGCAAGGTGCTCAAATCCTCACCCCTCCACCACCATGCTTGACACTTTACATGAGGTGTTTTTGCTGATATGCTGTCTTTTAGTGTTTACCCGAAAACATGAATGACAGCCAAACGACTGGTGACCTATCCAGGGCATACTTCGCCTTTCGCCTCTCTGTGTCCCTGAATTGGATAGGTGGAAGAAAAACTTCTCGTGCTATTTCACCTGGGATGAGTTTCAGAGCCTCTCTGATAATAGATGGGCAGATTGGCACTTGTTTGATGAGGCAACTATTGGCCTGCACTACAGCTCTATGCAGATTTAGGATTTTAATCACAGACTTTTTATTTATTCTATGTGTCTCTCTGTCAAATCAGTGTGCAGAGCTTGTTCACAAACACTACCACTTATTTTTACCACTTCATACATGCTTTAATTAGCTCACCAGCTACTCCCTGGTGCCGTTTGCCGCTGCCCAAAAACAACAGAATTGAAGCCCAGCAGTTAAACAATGGGCTTCACTTCACTGTAAAGCTGAATGGAGCCTCAGATTCAGCTGAATGTTTGATTTAACGCTGCCATTCGATTCCTCCTCCAGCAGCTTTTTCCTAACATGCTCTGTGTCAGTGAGTACTGGCCAAGTATGAGCACGGCTTTACACCCTTCAGTTGATTGTATCCGTTCTCCCATTATTACAGCTCTTCAGCTCTCACTTCCATTGTTTTGGAAAGTATTACGTACACGGGAGGAAAACCATTTTTCAAGCTGACTGCACGAAGCAGGCACTGATAATGTCGTCACGAGCAACACTGTGATTCTGCAACAGGAAGCCAGAATTTCCACTCGGTCCAAATGGGTCATAACTCAGACACTCCACTAGCAAGGTCAAGAAGTCTTAATTGACCTAAGACCTCGGTCGTTCCCGACCTGGAGCATCTGAGCTGCTCCGAGCCCTCCACCTTAAGTGATGGAGGTTTTGTGTCTGACCAGGCGGGGGTCCGTGTGAAGCAGGAAGACTCTGGTTGGGCTAAAGACAAAACACAGCGAGGATCACAGGTCTGGGCAACAACTGGGGCTGTTTGAACGTCAGGTTCCCAGAAGCTTCGATAAAAGCCAGGGGTTCCGGTTATAGTTCAGGAGCACAGATTGTGTTTGTGTTGCAGGTCCAAGCTTTTTACTCCTGCATTGTTGTTTCCAGATTACGGTCGTAGCTCTGAAAGTTTGAACAGGGCTCAACGAGCTGCTGAGCGTGATGTATAAAACACAAATAAATAGTGATAAAAAGTAAACTGTTTGGATATTTGATATCTCAGGCGTTTACACAGGAATAATAGAGTTTGGCCTAACATTTACCTTTGGATGTTTACTCCACTGATACACAGTGTTATTGTTTTCATAAACAGGGCGCAAGTAGAGCCGCACAATAGAAACACAGAAGTGAGAGCACCTACAGCAGTAAGAGCTTCCACACAGCGCTCAACAATGTGCCACTATTCTTCCTTTCAGGCAGGAAGTAAGCCTCAATGTGGCTTTCCTGGTCACAACTTTAAATTAATAATCCAATAAATAAATGCAATATGAAATGGTGTGACCGGAAAGTAACTCCTTACTTTCCCACCAGTGTCGCCCTTCAGGGGTAAACTGGTGCCAAGTTCTGTGTTCAGAGAAACCCAAAACAAAACACATAAAGAAGGAGGATTTCTGGACTTGTATACACTTTTTATTTTAATCTTTTCCTCTTTGTGTTGTCTGCTGTGGATCAAAGCATGAAATTCCATTTAAAATTATGTCTCGTGAAGGAAATATGAAACACAGATCCTGATTTTAATAAGCAACTGAAAGAACTCTGACTCATTTTCTCTGTCTGCCCCTCTCGATGTGATTGAGATGAATCAGATAGCATAGCTGCTTTATGTAAGATGAAAGGAGCACACAGTAACACACACACACTGCAGCATCACGTTCAAAGCCGACTATAGTACTGACTCCGCGAGTTGACATTCGTGTCAGTCTTCCTTAGCAGTAAAGGAATTTTCCATTGACTTGGGGTGAGTTCCAGCTTTTTTTTCCATGTCTGCGCTGTTAAATAAAACCAGCAAAGGTTGAAGAAGCTGAGGCAAAGCATGGGAATAATGTTTCCTCTTTATTTGCTTTCTAAGAACAATGAAATGCTTCTCATCAGCTCTGAACACAAATGTGAAATGTGCAGTGTTTCAGATTCTTATCCATCATGTGACAACATCAGGGAGACATCTGATCGGACAACAAATGGTAAGGTGCCCACATCTTCGGCTTGTATTCATACATGTAGTGGTTTCCTACTCTTACTGAGACCTCAAAGCGCTTTTAAAACGATAAAATCAGAATCAGAATATTATTGATCCCTGGGGGAAATTATTTTTTGTTACAGTGCTCCATTATAAACCAACATTAAGACAAGACAGACAATACACTAACTAAGAATAGTACAATATATACATATATATATACATACATACATACATAAGTCACTCATAAATAAATAGCTGAACAAGAAACATGTGTAGTTATAGCAGCAAACAGTGTGTTAAGTGGATGCGTTGTACAGGGAGATGGCCACAGGCAGGAAACACAAACTCGATTATATCTCATGTAAACTCGCACAGCAAATAAAGCTTTAGGGGCCGATTTCAAAAGAGTCGAGGATCAAACCTTCTTAGCAGACAGCAGCTGGACATCCTGAGCCACACCTGCTCACAACAGAGGCGGCCATGCCCAATCCAGAATGAATGGCGTTTTGGTGCGGGACATTCAGACCCTCTTTAATCGTAGTAAGAGATTTGGTCCACATCGCTGGCAGGATGTCCAGCTTGTGGTTGGACTCTGTCAGGCTGCCCTTTGTCACCGATTCTGTTCATAGCGTTTGTGGTCAGAATTTCTTGGCACAGCCGGGAGGGGGTGGGGGTCACTGGTTTAGTGGGTACTTTCAGTCCACTTAGACTGCTTCCCACTGTGTGACCGACCTGGATAAGTGGCAGAAAATGGATGGATGAACATTTAGTGTAAATATGATTGTTCTTTGGCACCTTTTACAAAAGAGATACAATATTTTGGGGCTTTTTTGGATCCATCTATACAAATTTAAGCCGTTAAATGATGTTGGTAAATGAGCAAAGTGAAAACATAAAAATGTAAACGGAAAAGTGTCTGAAATTTTGAATAGTTTGACCGAGAGGCAAACTTGTTAAAGACTTTATTCCGTGATTCTGAGCTGAATTCATGATGACTCATAATGAATAAAAGAAAGAAGAGAGCGAGAGAACAGATGTTACACAAAGGACAAAGACAGATGAGAGAAAGTGATGGAAGGCAGGATGAGGGATGGATGAGTCCCAAGTATGCAGAAGCAAGAGAGGAAAAAGAAGGTGTTAATCCCTCTTGGGCTGGTGGGAAGCAGGACGAGGTGGCTGGTTAGTGTCACAGCCACGACTGCCAGCACGATCCCTGAGAGTCACACATTTGTTAAGCTTTGGGTTGTGCTACTTTATGAATTGCACCTTTAATCTTAAAAATCATTTAAGAGGAAACAAACTAAATTTGATGAATCTATGAATAAGAGACTGTGGATCTGGGTTTAATTATGCTGATAATGATCCATTTTCCCTTCTTGTTTCCTTAAGTTAGTCTTTAAGTCTCATTTGTAGAATGTAAATAGATGAATAGATAAATGCATAATATTTAAAAAATGACTTACTAAAAAAGCAGGTTGATGTGAAAGCTAATTGCACTGACTGCCTGCAGCCACTAACCCTGCCATGCATTATTATAGAAGACATGAAGACATTATTACACAGGGGCACAAAAATTTCTGAATGAAATGTTGATCTACTCTATCAGTTCTTTACGAGCATTCATTCCAGTAGACAATAGCCGTTTTATGATCTTCAGCTGAACCAGTGACGAAAGTCTGTTAGGGGTAGTTGAGTAATGCTAACATGGTGCCAACCAGGCTATCGACGCACTTTGAAACCAAACATCCTGCCTGAGATAAACCAAAGTCCTTCTTGAAGCCATTCTCACCGCTTAAAAAGCCTCGGGGCACTTTTTAGGCTTTTTAGTTGGGCGTTTATGTCTTTTATTACCAAAATGAATAAAAAGTGTCAAAAGATGCTGAGAAATTTTACAGACTTTTGCTCAAAATAAGATTTTTCATCATTTCCTCCGGAAATTAAACTTCTACAGTACCGCAAGAATTGATGCTTCTGAATTCACTCACATTGTGTTTGCATTTGCAACAATTAATGCAAAATAGTCTTTGCCCCTTTAGAAGATATTTAAACCAGCAACACGAGTTGATTCCGATTGACTTTTTATTGTAAAAGAACAATATAATACCATGTACAATATAATAATAATAATAATAATAATAATAATAATACAAAATCTGTACATTCTGTGGTTTTGCAGTACATTTGGAAGACTGATACAAAACAACTGCAACAGGGAGGGAGGTATTTACACGTGTAGGATCTGCCTATTGAGCTCAGCGGCTTTCTGTCACAAAAGATACAGGATATAAACGTGTATTGATGCAAACTCTTGTGCAGTTACAGTACTTTTGTTTCTTTGAAATCTTACATTCTCAAGTAAAACAAAAGCGTTACAACAGAGAATGAAAACTCCAGTGGTGTTGAGGCCGATTTCTAGTTCAGCACAAAGGGAAACCGGCTTTACGTAGAGACTTGATATTTATTTATTTAAAAATTTCTTTTAGTGTATTTGATTTTTAGACACCAATACACTGACTCGTATTTTCAAACCTTAAAAATAAAGGTTTGCCTGGAAATGAACTCTTGTGTTTAAGATGAAAAATCTGGCCCATCAAAAGAACTCGTCAGTGTTGCTTTTTTACCACTACATGACCACCTTCTTCATTACACGGGTCCAGATTACGGCTTGATGACATGGCTCCAGATACAGATAATCGACATTTTAAAAAAGAAAGAAAAGAAAAGAAACTGTACACGTTTTTGAAAAACAAACCTTACATTAAACGGCCTAAACTTTCTACGTTTTCTGTACCAAATCTAATTGTTTTTTTTTTCAGAAACATAACTATAATAATAAAAATAATAATAATAATAATAATAATACTCTTTGGCATTGTCATAGTCATTATCAAAAAAAAAAGAAGCAACATCATAGCAGCACTTTTAAGAACATTCAGATTCTCATATTACCCCAGTCTCAGTTTAAATTAATGATTTCTGTCAGTTTGATGTCGTTAATACTACCCTGCTCGGATCTCTTGACGCAAGCAGGCATGTTTCTATCAGTCTGACCAGCTCAAACATTTTCTGCAAAAGCACAAAGCTGAGAGAATCAGTGCTATCGAGTCAAAGGAAAGTTCTCTACAGGTTATTGCAGGCGAAAACTGCATTCAGTGACGTCTGCTATGAGGCCAGCTCATGAACAAACAACGTGTACCTTCTTTGTTCCAGACATCCGATTTCTTAACTCTTTGGTTCTGTGACAGTGTCAAAATGAAAGTGTTTTAAAGGGTTTTTTGTGTAACTTCCACTTTTTCTAGCAGCACTAGAGAACTTAAAAAAACAAAAAAACAAAACACCTTTCTGAAAGAGCGTTATTCTCGCTGGACAGAGCAACTGAGACATGCCTGCAGTTTTCAAGTCATTGCAATAGCCTCCGTCCTCTCTGCAGTCACCGGACACTGAGCACACATTCATGGGGACTTGATGGAGAATTCATTCTGCGATATGCAAATGGTTCATAGTGCTGTGTTTTGTCATGCTGTATGCAAAGTTCAAGCAGACTCATCAGGACAAAGTCTTACACCTCACTGCCACTTTCCACAGCAGTACCGTTTGGGTTGGCCTCTAACTCTAACCCAGCTTGGCTCGTAGTGCCTTTTTAGAGCAGAGATGCGAATCTCGGAAAATCTCTCACGAGATGTCTTAACAGTCATATTTCGGACTCTCGTCTCAGAGGCCGGGGCTCTAGAGGCACCATGGCTTGGTTATGTTCGCTCTCTGAGATGTTGTCTGTCTGAGTGCCATCAGGGCCGACGCTGCCCCCGTTCCCCTCGTCTGTGTCCTCTTTGTTGTCCAGAGCCATCTCGTTTTCGTAGCAGAAGGAGTTGGAGTTGGAGAGAATGAATTTTTTCTCTGCCAGGTCTCTGGCGCAGCACAGAGGGGTGCTCGACACCTCGTATGTCTTATGGAAGCGGGAGTAGTCCACCTTGTAATAGTTCTTTTCCTCGAAGAGCACGGGCTCAAAGCGATGGCCCCAGAGGATCTCGCTGGCGACGTAGGAGCTTCGGCACTGTGTGGTCATCGCCGTCGCCTCGACCATGCCCTCCAAGATGACTACGATTTCAAACTCCGAGTTCTCCAGGTCCTGTTTGCTCATGTCATAGAAAGGGCTGTCCTCATCGATCTCATGTACAATGGTGATCGGGGAGACCAGGAAGATGCGGTCGACTCCGCTGTCAAAGCCCACATCTATGTCCATCTGGTCGAGGGGGATGTACTCTCCCTCCGCTGTTGTTCGGGATTTGAGAAGCTGGGCTCTCACGTGTGCCTCGACCAGGTGGCTCTTCCTTAAGTTGCCCACACGCCACATCAGACAGAGCTTGTTGTCCCTCATGGCCACTGTAGCGTTATGGCTGAAAACCAGTGTTTCATTCCTCTTCTTGGGCTTTGCCATTTTTGCCATGACTGCACCAATGATGAAGGCGTCAATGATGCAGCCCACAATGCTCTGGAACACCACCATAAAGACAGCCACTGGGCACTCCTCCGTTACGTATCTGAAGCCATAACCGATCGTCGTTTGAGTCTCAATGGAGAACAGGAAGGCACCAGTGAAGCTACTAACATTGGAGACACATGGATGGTCATTATTTTCTAAGTCCCCGTGAAAGATGGCCACCAGCCAGAAGACGCAGCCAAAAAACAGCCAGGACAGGAGGAAGGCCAGGCAGAAGATGATGAACATCCACCTCCAGCGGATGTCCACACATGTGGTAAAGATGTCAGCCAAGTACCGCTGACCCTTCTCGCTCACGTTGATGAACTGCACGTTGCAGTGACCGTTCTTCTTTACAAATCTGCTCTGCGGCTGGTGCCTCGTGTGCACCTTGCCCTTGCTGTTGCCGTTGGGTACTGCCATTGTGGCAAGCTTCATGCCGTCCTCCTCTGATGACACAATGCTGTAGCGGCTGGCTCGCACGCTTCCCATCACCTCAGTCTGGGAGGGCTGTGCTGCTTCTGCTTTGGAAAACAGTCTAAGTTTCTGGAAAAAGCGTTGGAGAAACAGTTTTGAAACACTTCTGGGACCAACTCAGAGAGGAAATGGTTACAAAATGAGGCGGGCTGAAGGGATCCCTCTTCAGCCTCACTGGCCTCTGGATGCAGTGCAACAAAAGGAGGGTGAAGTGGTCACTCCTCTTTCATTGGGCGACTGGGCCTCATCAATGTCAAGTGCTACAAGGAAACAGAGACAGAAGGTGTCAATTAGGAAAACTAGCATCCAGATACATAAAGGTAACTGAGCCTGCTGAACATGAAATCCCAATAGCTTGTCAGACGTGCATGCAGCCTGAGAAAAACCATCAAGAACTTAATACACGGGGCCAGAAAAGCTCACCTCTGTGCCAACAATATTTCATCCTGTTATGACAAACAACAACAGTGATATTTAACCCTCATCTAACATTTCAGCTTCCACTGAGAGAGGCCACACAGTAATTGCACTCAGGTCCCGTTATTGGCCATTTACAAAGTGGACTTATTTTTCTTGGCTGTGCCATGCTGACCTGGTCATTTCTTGCCAGACTGCGGGCTGCTGTGTTTCTATGGGATCTCGTGCTGCTGGTCTTGCACTGCTGATGGATTATGTAAACTATTTACACTGAGAAAGCCCAGATATGCAAACTATTTTCCTTCCTCTCATCCCTCAAACAATATTCAGCAAAATTTGAGCATGCACAACAACCTGCGACTGAAAATCCCCCCACCCTCCCAAAAAAAAATAAATTCAGACGTAGATGCGTCTAGGTGCTCAGTGAGGTGAAAATCACCCGAGCTGTTTAGCTAACGCAACTTAAAGTTCATTTTATTATGTACTACTACCATTATTATGACATTATCTAGCTAGTAAGAAAGATTTTAAGGTTTCAAGGAGCCACTAAATGTGTGAAAACATTCAACTTGATTCAGCTTTCACCAGGTCAGTTTCAGGGTGGAAATTTGTCATTTTTCGATAGGTTTTGAGGAAAAAACGTGTGCATAAGAAACATGCAGCTTGTTGACGTTCAGAAAGCCCTCAGGGGTTTCTCCTCTGTGCTGCGATAACAGCTTCCCCACGAGGATTCTCTCAGCACAACTAAAACACCTCTCATTAATTTTCCTAGCAACAGGGTCTATATCGACCTAGCACTGCCTCCAGTGCCCTGTTACGTTTTTTCTGCGTGTGTTAGGATCGATTTCTCCTTGTGGCATGAGGCTTTAAGATGGGAAAGAAGTTGGCAGCAGAGACCAGAAAGTTCCTCCGGGCCTGGAGGGTATCACATGCACCCTTAAAGCACAGAATATGTTGCCACAGCTGAGTCATACTGAAGTTTCACACCTGCAGGATGTTTAACTGGCTGATGCAATTTGGGCTTTTACTTACTTTGATTTAACTTAAAAAAACGAGAGAACAGTTGAGTAAAGTTCAGCCCATCAGTACATTATTTAATGTGCATGCTGATTGCAGTGTAAGCTGCACTGTTGACCAGTATGTATTTTTTCTTCACACGATGGCTTAAGTGCGCAGTACAGAAAAACTGCACGAATACAGCGTGTTTTCCTTTTCTCATTCAAAACGACCGAATTTTAACTATTTTTTAACTATTTTAGAAAAAAAACCAGTTGTACAAGATTTCCTGAATAAGTAAACTCAAAATCAAAACTGTTGTTTTATTATTATTATTATTGCTTTATACACTTTTTTTAGCCTTTTAAACGTCGCTAAAAGAATATCTAATCGTAAAGAGGCGGGCAGAGCTGCTCTCAGGCTGCACCAGATGCCAGCGACAAATGTTAACAGGTGCGAGAGGAAAAAAGGAGCTGCCTTCTGATGCAATCACCCGCACAGAGACGGACAGACCCTCAGACTGACAAAGACCCGCAGGTTTCGCTTCAACCGCAGGCGTCACACTCGGGACCTCAGTGTGAAGCTTGAAGCGGTTATGACATGATAAAGTCAAACTTTTGGCGGGCCATCTGACTTCTGTGACAACAGAGAAGCCAGGGAGCTTGCGTGTGGAGAATCAAACCATCACACACGCTCCTCAGACATGCGTAAAGCACCTAATAAAGCATAACATCTTACATTAAAGCGCAAGAGCAGTAGATCTGTACAAGGAACGACTTAAAAGAAAATATCGTCTCATCTACCTGTTGCTCATTTGTAGACCGGTTGGAATCACCTCGGTGAAATAGTAATCCAGACTTCCTCTTGGGTTTTTGCGGATTCTTTTACAACCAGCGTCGTCTCCGTGCGTCTGCTTATTTTCAGTTTTGTATTATTATTATTTTGGAATCAACAGGATAAAACCACAAACCTTCTCTCATCTCTCTGGAAGACCGGTCTCTACTATGTGCTTCGCACTGAGTTCCCCCAAAGCATTTTAAACAGTAGCGCACCGGCACGGCCCGCCCACCGGCTCCGCGCCCGGCCAATGACTGGGAGGAGGGGGGGCGAACGCGCACCGTGGTAGAGGCGTAATAACTCGCTGTTTTTTTCTGTCATTTCGAGCGTTTGATCCACGCGAGCGATGAGAACCGGACACAACAAGAAGGAATGGCGAGCAATTACTCTGTAGCTGGGCCACGACGCGATAAATATAAAAAACGAGGGGTGAGGGCGAAAAGTTAAAACACGAAGCGGCATAAATATAAATATTATTTTCATGGATCTAGAAAACAAAACGTCCACGTGGTACATTTGGATGAAGTTTGCGGCTAAGATAAATGCGTTAAAGGTGGTGTGCAACTACTTTATCCTAGTAACACAAACAGAAGAAAATCCGTTTTTAATCCCTTTCAAACTCGAGGAATCTGGGACTTCCACGCCTCTTCCCACCTGCTCCTGACAGTTTGCTTGTCATTCTTTTTTTTCTGTGATATTCGCTGTTTTCTTAGATCTTCTTTTTTAATGTGAGTATGGAAAATGTGCTCTGTTGGAAAGAATGACTCACTCAATAAAGGCCTACATGCCTGTATTATGATATGACTGTCTTTCTCCACTGAGCTATCGAGTTGCTTCGGATGTTTAGACTGTGCATCTGTTGCCCTATAATTTTAGGTCAGGCTCGTAGCTGTGCTGCCTTAAAGCCATTGACTAAATCATTCTTCCTGCTTACTAATTCATGATAAACATTACCCGCAACTGCGTGCTTTTTCATCAAGCCTTTTGTTAGCTTTATTTTTAGTTCTGGGTATTTATAGCAGCGCATATATTTAGCCCAAACCACCTGTGTCAGTGAGCTGTGCGCCCTATGTGTGTTTGCTTTCCATGCCCAATTTCCAGCAATAAAGGGAGCGACACATGCAGCGGGTCGGTGCTGCATGTGGACCACAAGGTGGAGAGCTGGAGACTGGAATTAACCACGCCAGTGCCTCCCACACAGAGAGCTCTGAAATGTGACAGAGGGGAACTCGGGCTGACCTCTTCAAGCAGCTTTGTGTCACGGCAGCACCATGTCTGGAGAATTCAGATGAAATATGTAAACATGGTAGAGTCTTGATGTTAATTACAAAGTTTTGACATCAGTAAAGACTAGATTTTTCAGCCTTTTGCACTCCAATGCTTGTGTTTTTAGCCTTTTAAACTAATGCAGGACTGAGAGGGCGCTGAGATTTCTGAGCCACTGGCCAATAATGATTGTTGTTGGCCTTTTTAATAGCCTGAGAGGGTGAATGGAGGGCTACAGCCTGGACAGCTCACCAGTTCATCATACGCAGCCACACGCGGTCACATCTACAGCCAATGTAGACTCACCAGTTATCCTAACGAGCATGAACAGTATCCCCGCTTTAAACCATCAAATTGTTTTATGCAGAGAATAAACATGATATAATTCATTGCTAATCTTGGAGCTGCTGGTTTTGGTACCAGTGGACAGAGTCATGCCAGCTCTCATGAACTCCTTTTTCCAGTTGTGTTCCTGATGTAAGCTAAATGGCTGCTGGCTTCATATTTACTCTGCTCTTTGTGTCTCTATTATAGTCTCTAATCATGTTTCCTAATGTGGACCCACCACAAGCGGGAACAAAAGCTGGATCTTCAGAGCTAACATTTGCAAAACTGCTTTTTTGCATCCTTAATGCCAAGAGTAAGTAATGCATGTGTATAAATATAGATCTGAATATATTTATTTCTGTAGGAGTGATGAGTGCTGTGTTGTTTTGTTTTCCAGTATACTCTGGGTCCAATTTGCTGTCTTTAAGCGATTATACAGAGAGAGACTGACTATGTGTGGAAGTCTGTTTGTGTTTTACTGTTAGCCAAGCTACTGTTAGCCTCTGTGCTATAGCTGAGACTTGGTGGGGAGTGTTATGGTCTAGCTTCATTTAGCAGATGTTAGCAAGTCCTCTGTGTCCAAAGACAACTGTTAGCTGTATCTCACCTACTCTTTATAATGTGTTTCATCTTTTAATAGTAGATTTATGTTTTTATCACACAGAATACACACATGGAAGCTGATCATGACGGGGCTATATGTGACAAAGAAAATGCCCAGTTGGATACAAGTGTCTTCATTCAAGCTGTGGCGGTCCTCCCTGGTTCAGCTAGCACAGGCGTGTGGTCTGCTGTCCACCAGAGCTCAAACACATGTTTGAGCGTATTTTAGAAGGTGCAAACTCTAAAAAACTAAAACCCATGGGAGCCATCAGCCTTTAGTGTTAAGTTTAAGATAAAAATAGAGGTAACTAAATCAGTTTGCTTGGAATTTAAAAAAACAAAACATGATTAGTTTTGCAGGAGATGGTCTGTATCTCATTGTACAACTGTACAGTGACAATAAAGGCATTCTATCTTCTATCTATCTATCTAAACTGTTGTGCAAAAGTCTTGAACCACCCATTTATTTGTTTTTGCTATGGAAATGGATGCAATGATTTATTACAGTGTGCAAGTATACATGGAAATATAGTAAACAGAGTTTTCTACAAGTCTAATGACCTTGAAAGGCAACATTTGGTATGAGCAACTTCATTCTTCAACACAGTCTAAACTTACTGAGACGGCTTTCTGTTGGCAACAAAGCAGGAACAAATTGTTTCTTTGCTAAGTTGCCCCCTATGGGTATAACACTGGTTAAGCCCAGGGACATAAACAATACATAAACAACTTTGAAAGACTTTCAGAAAGCCTGAAAAACTATTGCCCAAGATGGCTTTTAAACATTAAAAGAAAGCCTGGATGCTCGGAAGCAAAATATAAAGAAATGAAGCATGGCTCAAGATTTTTGCACAGTACTGTACGTACTTTCTTCTCATATACGTTTACTTTGACAGCGCTGATTTTTACCACATAATGTCAGTTACTTTAAAATGGTATGTTTTATTATTGACTGTTAAAAATGAATGTATTTAATTTTGCAGCACTGGATGGAAAGTCTGTGCATAAAAGTCGCTAGAGTTAAGATTTTTATAACATTCATAAAAGTATAGCACTGAGGCAGGAAGAATAAAATGCGTGTCTGTTACATTACATTGATTTAATGGGACAGAGTCAAAGTCCGATTTTAACTTGTTTCAAAAAACTTTCCAAAGTTTCCAAGTGAGTGAAATTCTACATGTGGTGATTTTGACAAACTCAGCATTTTTCCACAGTTTTTGTTGCTCACAGACTGTGTTCATGTTATTCAGTTCTGATTCAGCCCTCCACAGAACAGAGAGCGATACTGGAAACAGCCAGCTGTTTGACTTAACCAACATTTTGTTGCTTTTAGGTGTTTGATTGATGCTGCGTAAATTAATATAAAATGTTGGATTTATTGAAGCCAAATATATTGATTTAATAAATCAAAACTACATCATTTAACTGACAGATGTGTGGCGGAGGGGACTGAAGTGTGGGTCCTCAGAGGACCGGGGAGTCACCTGCTGTCAGGGTGTGCTGCAGAAATGATATTCTGAGCTTTAGTTTTGTGCCTGATCAGTGTTTAAGTGGGAGAAACACTGAAATACTCACAAATAAAGCTCTGTAGAATTTCCTTTTTGACTCATTAATCCTTTAATAGTAGCTGCTGTTGTATTGTAAAAGCTATGAGCTGATTTAGAATCAAATTACACACATTTTCAAAGCACAAAGCCTTAAACTCAGACACATTCATCACACTGGCAGCTGTTCTGTGATGGAGAGTAATACACATTTTATATGTATTTTACTGTCATCTGTTAGTTTCACATCATTTTCACAGTAAGAGTCCAAACACTGGGTCAACATTAAGGGGGTAACTCACAGCTGAGTCTTTTGCTCTCTTCCACAGGCCGTCTTTGTCCAGTCTTCTTCCCTTCACCCCCAGCCAGTTGTGGTTGGGGACGAGGGGCCTGATTCTGCCAGACATGCTCCCTCTTGGCCATATGTTCCGAAAATATAATATTTAATTGTTATGCTGATGACACCCAGCTCTACATTTCCTCCAAACCTAATTCATCCCTTCCACCTACCTTCCTCTCGAACTGCCTTATGGAGATTAGATCATGGTTCTCCTACAAACTTAACAGTAATAAAACAGAAGTTTTACTTGTTGGTACAGCCTCTATCTTAACCAAATTTCACAGTTTCTCCATTAATATTGACAATTCCCCCACCCTTCCTTCCCCACAGGTAAAGAGTTTGGGTGTCATACTTGACAGTACTCTCTCATTTCAGTCTCACATTAATTACATAACCCGGTCTGCGTACTTTCACTTGCGTAACATTAACCGACTTCGTCCCTTCCTTACTCCCCATGGTGCTGCAATCTTTGTCCATAGTCTTATTACTTCCTGGATCGATTATTGCAGCTCCCTCTTGTTTGCTCTCCCCAATAAGTCCTTCCATAAACTTCAACTTCTTCAGAATTCTGCAGCTCAGGTCATAACTTGTACTCCCTTAAGAGACCATATTACCAATTCTTCAACAGCTTCACTGGTTGCCCATAGAAGCCAGGATAAGCTTTGAAATCTTAGTTCTCACGTTTAAGTGCATTCATAACCTTGACCCTCCTTATCTCTGTGATCTGCTTCATATCACCACAGTTTCCCGCTCTCTCAGATCTTCATCTACCACTCATCTTGTTGTTCCTTCTGCTCGTCTCATCACTGTGGGGCACAGAGCTTTCAGTCGCGCTGCTCTGGAGCTCACTTCCTTCCATCTTAACAAATATAGATTCTCTTCTCTTATTTAAGTCACAGCTCAAAACTTACTTGTTTAAACTGGGTTACTCGCTTTAATACAGATCCTACTTGCTGTCAAATCTTGTTTATTTGTTTGTTTGTTTTTATTTGTTGTTTTTTCATTTTAATTAATTTTAATCTACTGTTTTATTGATATCTTTTTCTCTTTGTAAGGTGACCTTGGGTTTTAGAAAGGCACCCTCAAATAAAATGCATTATTGTTATTATTATTAGAGGTTTCCTCCTGTAAAAAGGGAGTTTTTCCTTCCCACTGTCAGCAGAGTGCTAGCTCATAGGGGTTCGTCTGATTGTTGGGGTCTTTCTGTTTTCTCTGTATTATTGTAGGGTCCTTATCTTACAGTATACAGTGACTTAAGGCAAATGTTGTTGTGCTTTGTTGCTATACAGATATTAAAATATATATTTTAAATTGAATCTCACATGTTTATAGAAGCAGAATGTCAACCAGTATTCAATTGATTTTGTTTGGTGTTTATTTCTGATATAATTTTCTGATGTCCGGTAACCCTTCTGGGGGGCACGTGCCACCCCATTTGTAAAATCCTGGAAACACCTCTGCTCATCTTACATGATTTGAGTTCTTTATATTTCTCAAAATTAATCTCCACTTACAGACTAGATTCCTCTATGTTCTCCTCCTGCTTCTTTCTGCAGGTAGTAGCATAAAGTCTGCATTATTCATTATCGCCATAGGAAGATGGTACACCTGTATACAACTCAAACTCATGAATGATGCATCACATCTTTATGGTGCTGCGGCATCTATACAGCGAGTGATGGGTGTGGCTGGAGTTGTCAGATGCTGCACAGCCAACACTTCAGAAAGTAATTATAGATGTTTTTAAGCCTCTGTCCAAGGGAGAGTTGTTCATGTTGCTCTTCACATCGACCAACTTCCGCACACGCCACTCGTCAGCAACACTACAAATTTACTTGGACTTTCTCTTGATGCTGAGAATTATAATTCTCTTTAGTCCCTCCTTTAAAACAAGAATGTGGCTTTCAAGGTACTCTGTGTATTGTGTCAACATCAAGGATCATTAAAAGCCATGAAATTAGTGACTCATTGGTTTCACTGTAATAACAGTGTATGTTTAGCTATTCTAATAACAAGCCAATCAAATGTCCTTATGCAGTGAGGTCAGTGGTGATCATAAGACAGAGGGGGTCAGACAGGCCTGTAAAAACTAAACTGTGGCCGTCCTGGGGGCCTCTGTGGGATGACGCCGTTCATCTGAAAACAAACTTTGCTTCAGTTGCAGATGAGCTTCCAAATGTGAAGTCAGGCTTTATTTACAAGCAGCTGCAGCCAAAAGTTCTGTTTCATCATGAAAGGATCAGCGTGAAGTGTTACTGAAAGTTTGTGACGTTATTTCAGTTGTACTTGTTTTGTTTCAAGGGGAAAAAAATCACTGCCTCTATAAATAGATGTTTAAAAAGACCGGCCAGTGGGTGAATTCGGTCATCTGGACAATCCTGTGCTTCAGCTTGGGGAAGACTCTGTTCTTTTCCAGTGCACAATTCAAGCTCCATAGTGATATGGTTGGATGAGTATAGTGTGGAAGAACTTGACTGGCCCACACAGACCACAACCATATCAAACACCTTTGAGATGAATCAGCATGAAAACTGCAAGCCCGGCCCTTTTGTCCAACATCAGCATCTGACCTCAAGAATGTTCTTCTAAATGGATGAGTGAAAATCTCCACAGTATCTTCAGAAAGCCTTCCCAGAAGAGCTGAAGAGCTCCATGCAAGATACAAACTGTCTGAAGACATCAGCAAACAAAAGCTGAAGAGTTACAGGTGAACGGTGCATCAACAGGCCCGCTGAGAGCGTGCCCAGGCTGGTCAGACCCTCTAACACAGTCAGAATCTGAGTGAATAAAACTGAGCGATTAAGTTGCCTGACGGGAAGACCGTTAAAGCAACATGCAACATCACCATGGCCTGAACAACATCAAGCGCTTGGAACTGACCAGTTTTACATACGTGATGAAAAAGAATACATGTTTTTAATGGGATTCTGCAGCGATGCAAATCAAAGCCACAAAGCAGCGTGTGGGGCAGGAGCATCTGGTTATCGTTGTCTGTCTGGTTACTTCACATTAAAGTGACTTTCCCGATCAAAGCTTTTGTTCTCAGACACAAACCATGATCCATCTTAGGGATGATCATCAAAGTTGATACACAAACCATATATGTAAGCATCACTTTTTAAAATCTTTGACAATGGTAGCCTTTTATAATTAGCATTTTTTTTGGATGTAACAAAAATCTTCTTGGAAATACTTTTTTTTTCCACAGTGCCTTCTCCGCATCTCTTCCTCAAATCATAAAATATTTATGCATCTGCATTTTTTTTAACTTAACAAAAAGCAAACAAGCTTCTGTGTGTGTGTGTGTGTGTGTGTGTGTGTGTGTGTGTGTGTGTATGGGAACAAAATGCTGGCCCCCACACGTTTGAAGGCATTTTCGAGGCTCAAAATGTGGTTTTAGTGTCAGGGTTACAGTTGGGTTATGGTTAGGTTTAGGCTAAGGATTAGGGTTAGGCATTCATTTTTGATGGTTAGGGTAAGCAGCTAGGGAAGCATTATGTCAATTAATTAAGATATAAAAATGAGTTTGTTTGTGTGTGTGTGTGCAAGACAGAGAGAAAGATGGCTTGACGAGCAGGTTTTATTTAAAATTACTAAACAAAGATTCCTCCACCACAAACATAGAAGAACAGAACATTTTCCCTGTGTGTTATATAAACTTTGACTTACATCATAATATGGGATGTTACTGTAGTCACCTGCATGACTTCAATTTATTTGCCATCAGCAACGCCAAGACTTTAAACTTTACATTAAATATTTGACCTCTTGAGTCAAAGTCATATAGCCTTCCCCTTTAGAGGCTGTTCTTGATTATCTCAGCCTGGCTCATAATTACTCATTTTTTAACCTTAAGGACACATACATATGATCATTTTTGCTTCATAAAAATTTCTCAGTGCAAGTTTTACAACTTTGTGTTTTTAACACAGAGTGACACCCACTTAACCCAATCCAGTCAGCATGGTAATCAGTAATCACAGTTACGTGCTTGTGGTTATTGCAGCCTGGTTGTACCCCAGTGTAGTCGAGCGTGGATGAACTCATCTCCAGTGTTTTTCAGATAAATGTTCTGATCCTGTGAACTCTAGTTTTAAGAACTCCACCTAATAAGCGGTAAAAAATGTTGCTCAGGTGCTGTACTATCAGTATTATTTTGACAATAAGCCAAACAATGGTTTGTGTTTACACTGCATTGTTGTGCCCGTGTTTAGACACAGAAACGGTAAAAGTCATTAGTTCAAAAGTGGAAGATGTACATTTCATTCATGAAATTTCTTTGCTGCTTATACAATTTTGGTCACATGGGGCGATCGTGGCTCAAGAGTTGGGAGTTCGCCTTGTAATCGGAAGGTTGCCGGTTTGAGCCCCGGCTTGGACAGTCTCGGTCGTTGTGTCCTTGGACAAGACACTTCACCCGTTGCCTACTGGTGGTGGTCAGAGGGCCCGGTGGCGCCTCTGTCAGTGCACCCCAGGGTGGCTGTGGCTACAATGTAGCTTACCATCACCAGTGTGTGAATGGGTGGATGACTGGATGTATAAAGCGCTTTGAGGTCCTTAGGGACTAGTAAAGCGCTATACAAATACAGGCCGTTTACCATCTTCCTGCAAAATATTAAAACAAATAAAATTAAGATGTACCAAGCCACGCTCAATGGGGAAGATGTGAGGTCTTATATTGGGAGGCTTCAACAAAAGTTAGAACCATGACCTCTGTCTGCTGACAGCACTGGGTATTTTAACTGTGTTATCTGCCACAAGGACCGTCCAGCTGCTTGTACATAAAGCAAAGGGTTTATCAAGCTTCTGTGAGGTTAGAACTTCAGAATCTGGATCACCATACCTGCTATCGTCACCTACTTTTGTAAAGTCAAGTGATATTTCCAAAAGCCTGTCTATATTTGAAACTATTTATCAATTTCTCAAGCTGCACAAGCTCAAACTTTGTCCCATCATGAACACCATTGCAGGATTCTTTGATGAAATAGAATTTCACAGCTTTGCTTTCAATTTTCTTCACTTGACTGATTATTTGGCTGAGTCAGAGTTTCTTGCTCCCGACTATTGTCTGATTGAGATGGTGCAACACTTGGTATAGGTTGGCTGTCACTCACAAGTTCCACCTTTACCATCGGGGGTTTCAAATATTTATCACGGTGATCCTGAGATGGCGATTGTGAAGGGAGCGAAGAGCTGGGTGAATGTCGAGGTGAGTGTCGTGTGAGCTGCAGTTGCTTCTTCTCTTCGAACTCCTTAGCGCTAACCAGGGGGACGTGTATCTTTTCAGTGCGATGGAACAAGTTGTAATCCACCCTGTAGCTCTTCCTGCCGACTCTGATCATCTCCTGGAACAGCTGACCCCAGAGGATCTCGTTTGGAGTGTAAGAGGTTCGCGTCTGATGCAGAATACCTGTGGAGTCATCTGTGTAGGTAAATGACACAACCAGTTCAAAGTCTGCTCTCTGCAGATCGGCATAAGTCATGGAGTACAGCGGGCTGCCAGGTTCAATCTTGTGATAGATGGTGGTTGGTGTGGCGAGGATGATGTCCTTCTGCTGGATGACCAAGTCTTCATAAGTCACATCAACTCTCCCAGTGGCGTGCATCGTACTGCGGACTATCTGGGCGGTAGCTGTCCCCTCCACCAAGTGGTACCTGCGGAAGTCCCCAACTCTCCAGGAAAGATAAATGTAACCATTACGAAGGTTGATGACAGCACGGTTGCTGAAGCCCACCGTCTGCGCCCTCTTTCTGGCCGAGGCCATTTTGGCAACAGCAATTCCAATGACGAACGTATCAATGAAGCAGCTCATGACGTCTTGTATGGTGACGATGATGATGGCATGCATGCAGTTCTCAGACATTCCTCTGAATCCGTAACCAATGGTGGTCTGAGTTTCGAGCGAGAAGAGGAAAGCGGCTGTGAAGCTGCGGACTTCAAACACGCAGGGTTCAGTGTTGGGATCCTTGATGTCTCCGTTAGCGAGAGCGATGACCCAGAAGAGGATTCCAAAAAAGAGCCAGGACAGAATGTAAGAGAGAGCAAAGATCAGAAACATCACCCTCCATCTGATCTCCACCAAGGTGGTAAAGATGTCGGTCACAAACAGCAGCCTCTCCTCAGGAACATGGCGGAACATGATGTTAGAGCTGCCTTCTTTACGTACGTAGCGGTATTTGTTGGGTCGGGGTCCATTTTCGGTCTTCATGGGGATTTCATCAGTGTGGCTCACAGATGTATACTGTCTGTGATGCATCTTCCAGAGGCTGCAGGGAACATATCAAAGATATTATATGCAAAAATGCAAATTCAATGACAAAGACAATAACAGATCATTCTTTGATGTTGCAAGGTGGTTAGTACCATGACTAGAAGGTTCCTGGTTTGAACTTCTGCTCGGTTTAATTGGTGAGTCTAAATATCTTTAGGATTGGATGTGAAAGTGAATGGTTCCCCATGGACTGCCTGAGATCTATCCCACCTTGTGTCCAAAGTCAGCTTGGAGAGTCTTTGTAAGGGATAAGCAGTTCACAAAACATATGGAACGATGGATATTCTGATATTGTCAGTGAATAACCACTTAAGTATTTTTTAAAGGAAAGATCCAACCATAAACCATCATTTGCATGATGGTTTTAAAATATGAGAACATGTTGCTTTCCCTGCTCTTACCTTACTTTAAACAGTATATTTGAATTTTTTTGGCCTGTTGGGCGGATAAAACAGGATATTTGTGCAAATCAACTGTCTTCAGGATGTTTTTCTTTAGATTAATCTTGAAAATAGCAAAAAAATTAAATTAAATGATAATAAAATCATTTGTTTGGGGGTTTTTTTTAAGCTAGAAAGGCTGGATGTGTCATGGTCTGTGGGAGTGCCTGGAGTGGTTTTCCTTCTGGCTGCTGAGCCATCCCTTGGGGGCGGAGACTTCAGTGCTTCACCTGAGCCTCATCTGCGAGCAATCAGCGGGAGATCTACTTAAGCTGACTCAACTGGCTCCTCTTCGTCAGTTTGTTCTATTCTTCTTGGCGATAAATGACGTTTACCCTTCGTGGTGGTCCTCGTGTGATTTATCTCTTGGAGTAATTTCTGTCTTCCCTTCATTCAGCGGAGTTCCAACCCTGGCTTCACCTTACTTGGACAGTCTCTGTCTCCCAGCCTGCCCTCCGACCTCCACGCTTCAGCTTGAGACCCTCCAGACGCTTTCCACGGACCTATCTCCCCTCCCCTCAGTGATACTAACCCGGACTGGCACAGTAAGGCAAACAATTCTTCAGTTTCTAACGATCAAGCTCCAGTTTTCTCTTCAGACTATAACTACCTCTCCCTCTGTTACAGAATATTCCCCCGGCTCTCTGACCTCTTCCCCATTCCTGCAACTAGCCTTATTGGGCCTCACTCGTTACTTTAGGTCACTGTTCCAATTAAATATCACTGTAAAGCACTCCTCGCCTGTGTTTGTCTGCATTTTCGGGTCCACTTAACTGGGCGAACCTTTCAGTTCATGACAGGATGGATAATCGTATCTCCCAGATCTTTAGAATTTACCTCCTAACTAACTTTGAATCAGTTCCTGACAAGAGTGTTAAAATCAACAGCTTTCTATAGTTTGCCACTTTGGACTGAGAGCTGTGCAGTTGGTATTGTAGTTAAATTGACCCAAAACCTGAGTGAAGGTCATTAGAGTAATGCAGGTCATGACAATTGGAGCCAACAGACAGACAAGCAGACGGACAAGTCTGCAGACTGAACAGCCGCCGTCTGATGTCTGACCTAAATCAGGAGTCCAAAAATTGTGACACGAAAATGCACATTTTTGTTAAGGCTCTAATTACACTTCTGCACATGCACCTGAAATATCCCCATTTATATTCAGCTCCATATCCATGTTCAAACTGCCTCAGGAGAGTAGCAAAGTGCTAGATAAGAGTCGATCCATTTACTGTTACCATTCATAAAGACAAACTGAATTAATTTTGACTCTACTGCTAATTAGCTATTGAGTGTTTTTGGTGTCACGATTAATTTCTGACAAGAAGCAGAGATGTGATATACATAAAGCTGTTTAATTATTTAACATCCTCATTTGGAACATCCCAAAGGGCTTTTTACTGTGAGAGTAAAACGCCCGCCCTCTTCCATTTTCCACTTTCTCTCTTTCCAGACTCTGATGCTGGAGGAATCAATTAAGAGTGGAGGTCTCCCTGTATTGAAACATCAGTTGGTAATCTCCAAGGTTATGTCATTTGTGTGGTATTTTATAATTTTGTCTTCATTGTAGATTTGTTCTGAAGGTGTATTTTTAGGCAGCAATATGGGAATGTTTACCATGAATGATCCCACTTTTCCTGCTATTTGTGTTAATATGTTTAATCCTAATGGGGCAGTTGCCTGGAGATACAAAACTCACTGCAACAGTGCTTGCTCGAGCTGCCACTTCTTTTAGCTTCTTACTTAGTTTTTGTTTAATAAGCCATTGCTAAGGTGATGGCATTCATGCACCTTCAGGCAGTAGTGGAATAAATCCATTAAAGGCTCATCTATTACGGTAATCATCATTAGACGATTAAAAGTTCTGAAAATGCATCAAACAGAAGATTTCATGTGAATTGTGCTGTTTTATCTTGTTTTATGCCACAGATTAATGTCTTTTGCACATATTTCCATGCAGAGTTTTGCTGCTGTCCAAAATCAATGGCCCAAGATCCTTTTTTTTTCTGGGTGGAGGTCAAAGTACTGTCAGAGGGCCAATAAAGGAAACACCACTGCATTGAACTGGTCAAAGTTAGCAGGGGAAAAATTAATGTGGAAACTGGAATAGTGTCATGGTGCGATCACGGGCAGAGGAAGGATCAATCACAGCCAAACCACTGAGAGCATCCTCTACGCCCAAAACAAATGGGTTTTGAATCACCGCTATCTGACTGAGTGAACCGGGCTCCAGTCACAGACTCCACTTTCTTCTGGCCACAGTGAACATCCCCACTGCCAGAGCATGGAGCTCGCTCCATGAGGTCATAGAAACAACGTCCTGTTAGCTTCCCATAATCCCTTCCTAAATACCCTGATAATACAAAAGGAGAAAAGTGCAGCTTCCTACTGGAAAGTAACTGACACTGAGTTACTGATTCATTTGTAGGTTATCAATTTGAAATCTAACTTTTAGTTCCCATGTTTTTCAGAACACTAGAAAAGTGAAGGCAGTCATCGAATGTTCATTAAGATGTGCCAAACGATTCATGTATTTGATACTTTTCTTTAGTCGTATAGATTTAAGCTTCCAACAAATACTCAGTTTACATCCACGTTCGTTACTGAACACTGGTCGTTTCAGACTTAGATACAGTAAGTCAGTCCACCACTTTGGTCCATACCAAGATATGTAAAACAATTTCAATGACTGAATAGCTGGACTGCTAAGATATTTATTCTTTTTTTAGATATTCGTAGTGTTCAAATGAATAAATCTGACTTTATTTTGGTAATCGTGCTGCTTTTTTCTTTTAGCAGCTCCAAGTCTGTCAAACTTCTCAGTGATTCTCTGCAAGATCTCAGCGTTTTCACTGAAGAATGTCCACTCTCAGGACTAGTAGCATTCATGGGCTTAGGCTAGAGCTGGGCGATATGAGATTTTTTTCATATCACGATATGTTTTTTTCATTTCAGTCGATAACGATATCTATCACGATATAAGCCAAATAACTATATTTGTAAGATTTAAATGTGCCGTTGCTCACAAGTAAAATGTGAAATAATCAGCAGCTTGTTTTTATTTAAATATTTATTTCCCATAATAAGTTCAACAGGGTAGATGTACTTAAGGAACATGAGACTTTTTCAGATAAATAAAGGCAAATATTGCAAACTACACAAAAGGCAGCCGCTAAAGCGTTTAAGTTTCAAAATAGAACAAACGAAACAGACTAAATTGTCAATTCCACTTAGAAACAAAATATTAATTCTAAAAATAAATCTTAGTTTGTTTTACAGAAGAACAGACAAAACTGACTAACTATTGTCAATATCAAATAAACTGAGAACTAAAAGGAAATTCTCAATCTCTCCTTGTTGTATAGCTTAGCTTTTCAAACAGTTTTAACAGTTACTTTAGTCTGACAAAAGCCGAATGACGAATTAGCGCTTCCAGTCAGAGACTGAGGCTACGTCCACACGTACACGGGTATTTTTGAAAACGGAGATTTTCCGTTTTCGTTTTAAAAAATAATCCCGTCCACACATAAAGGCAGAAATGAAGGAAAACGCTGCTAGGAACATGCCAAAGCAGCAGGTGGCGATATATTCCTAACCGTGCAGAAATGTTGGCCAATCAGAAGTCTAGAAGCCTCGGTGGGAAAAAGTAAACAAAGCTGGGGCATAGAAGCAGAACCGAGTCGTATGTGTGGAGGGACAGTAACTGTGTGTATATGTAAGCATTTAAACACTGCAGAGAGTAGAATTAACAGTAACAGTATTGTAGAAATTCATTTCACCGAAACAATAACGTGGCGCACAGTGTGACGCATGCACCAGTTTATTGTATTTCCAGACTTGCTTTCGGCACAATTTACAGTGCACGCTACTCTGTTTTTTGTCAGACTTGAAATAGCCGAAATACCTTCACACTACGGAACTTCTATGGCTCTTCCGTTCGACAATCTCTCCGGCGTTGGAACCATCATCTGTTTTCTCTTCGGTCACGCTCGGTTGATTTTTCTAGTCGGCGCACTCATTTCCTCCATTACCCGCTGGCTGCTTCCCAAACAAACACACGTGCGGCTTGGCACTTGTGCTGTACGTAACAAGTCACGCGACGTGACGCTGCGGCTGTGATTGGTTCGGCTCTGCGCTACTTAATTTGGATTGGCTGACCTTTTTTTTTTTTTTTTTTTTTTTTGAGGACAAGAGCGGCGAGGTCTATCGCGATAGCTTAATTTCTCTATCGAGTAAAAGTTATATCGCGATACATATCGTTATCGTTCTATCGCCCAGCTCTAGCTTAGGCACATGAGTCCTGACTTTTGCTCTCGAGCTGCATGATACACATTATTAGGTATACATATATAAGTTGCAGGGTGCTGCAGTGGTTATCACTGCTACATCACACCAAAAAAGATTCTGGGTTTGAATTCAGTGGCCATCATGCTCCTTTCTGTGTGGACATTTTGGGTGCAGCACCATATGCTACTAAAGCTACAGTAACTAACTGCCAACTGATTGTGGAGTACACATTCTTTCTGTAGTGTGCATCAGTTGTTGGGATTCAAGATCCTTTATTTGTCACATGCATAGTTATAAGAGTACAACACGCAGTGACATGTATCCTGACACACTCCTCGACTGTGCAAAAAGGGAGAGAACATTATATACATTTAGTGACTCTATACAGGGGGACATTATGTGCAGTAAGTAGCATTATATGCACTGGGCGCGTCACTGACCGGTCTCTAGGCATGCTTCACCGGGATTTAGCAATAAGTGACTGCCAGCAACAACTCGCTAACTGTTTGGGAAATACCGCTTTGTCTCTTGTGGCCCGTGATTGGCAGTCAATCGCCCACGACTCTCAAGGTCTGTGTGACATGACCTTAGATTAACTGATTGGCTGTAACTGGCTGAAAGTATGATTGAGAGTATGAATGAGTGTCTTTGTGTTAATTCTGTGATAGACTGGTGACCTGTCTAGGGTGTACCCCACCAAATCCCTGCATTGGTTATGCAATTTAAAAAAATAATGGACATTTATGGTGCATATTAATCCTGGCATAAGAAAGATAACGTGTGTATGTTAGTTATGCTGCAATAGGCCTGGGCTGCTGAGCATTTCCTGTTCATTCACATATTTTTATTCCCCTTTGCATTTAATCATCAGTTATTCTCAATATCTGGCTCTCTCTCTCCCTCCCCTCAGCCCATCCTTTTGAAAGGGAGTTTTTCCTTCCCACTGTCGCAAAACTGTTTCATACAATCACCCGATTGTTGCGGTTTTCCCTGTATTATTGTACAATCTTTATCTTATAATAAAAAATGCTTTACGGTGACTGTTGCTCTGATTTGGTGCTGTGTAAATAAAGCTGGTTTGAATGTAAAATTTCAGAAAAATTTCAAATAAAAAAAATACAAATTAAAATGAACATGGTAAACATCTTGTTGGCCACGTACACAAATTGGGAAAATGCACATTAGATTTAGGTAATGTACATCTTCACATGTTTTGCAGCTACTGTTAAGAAATATTTTTTCTTCTCCTTCAGTCTAGACACCAGGACACGATGAAAACGAATCTAACAACGAATATTAAATGGAGTCATTAAAACTGCTCTTTAAGAGTAACACAAGCAGACAAGTTAAATTAAGATACTTTCATCTTGTTTCATGTGGTCAGCTAATAAATATAATTACTGCATTATTAATTTGACATTTCTTAAGGTGATGTAAGTGTTGTCAGAGTGAATTTGATCATAACAGGAAGTGGAATGTCAGGCTATGAAAAGACCTTTTAATCAGGGCCCAATGTGTTTTTAAATGTTTCAAGATACTAAGAAAAACAAAACCTGTTGCAGTCATGCGATGAATATACTGTACTGTAATCTGAGATTGCTTTGTTTCTCTAGGAAATGATAGACAGTCGTCGGAATATTCTTAGCAACGACTACAGCGGCATTCAGACAGGCCTCGCAGGTCCCTGTGAGATGTTGACTCATGAGGTTGGGCTGTTTTCACCACAACCACTTTGCTTAATTCTGTGTTCTGTGTACAAAACACAGCATCACACAGAACAACCAAAACACATCCTGACCTTTGGCATGACGTTTCCACTGCACTCAGAGTTGTGATACTTCATATTCCTGAGGTTTATGTCATTATCTTTGCAAACATTTTTGATAGCATCCTTTTGTGTTCTAAATTTAGCCTAAATGTCTAAGAATCAAAGGATGAACTCTGGAAACAACTTGGGCAATTGGCTTGTTTCCTCTCTTGCTCGGGGCACTTACAACTCCATTACATGCTCACTTACTGCAAATGACACTGTGCCACCCATTTGCGGTTCACTGAAACAGAACCGTGTATACGGGTGGCTAGCTCAACTCTACCCCGGAGCTTTCTGCCACCTCTAATGACCTTCAAAGCCTCCAATCTTTTGGGAATATTTCCAGCTCCCTTTAGACTTACATTCAGTTGTCATTGAGCCTTGCTGCAGGAGGTTTAGTGCCCGAAGTTTTTAAATGCACAATAAAGGATGTTGGTCATTTTTAAGCAGCCCACTCCTGAAGGTTAATGGTTTATTCATGCTTCAAATACCACATGAACGAAACACGTGTTTGGATTTGTGTTTGCTTCATCAGAGACAGTTCTTCATATTTCAGTATATTTCTACTAATTCTAGTTTCTACCATCCTATTACAGTGTCATTGTTCAGGACTTATTTTTTTTAATTGTAGACCTGGGTAATTTAATTTAAATGTGTTGTGTGACTTTTAAATTTTGCTACAACTGCACGATCTTTCTCCATAACCGGCATGACCTTTGCAGTCTGCATTCTTGCTTGTTTGAATGTTCAATAGACACATATTTATAAAACAGTCAGTGCTGCTGTGATGAGCCGTGCCACCTCTTACATTCACCTCATCTCTTTACTTTTGAAATTAATTTCCTGCATCGCTTAAAACACATGTGATGTTTAAAGTAACCCTCCAGGCAAAATCAGATTTCGTTGTGAAACACGAGTACAAGCATTACTTATCACCTTGACCACATCTCGTCATGTACTTTGTTTTTTTTAAACAGCCAGGCGTCGTGTTCCTGCTCGTACTACTGAAGCTCAGATTACCAATTGTTCTGCGTACTTCTTGCAGTAGAAGTTATTCATCTAATTATAAGAGCCTCAGGCAACCAATAGGTAACACCAGTGCTTATATAGTATACAGTAGGGAATTAGCTAAATGGGCAAAGACGTTTTACCATTTTTATCTAGTAGATTAAAATTATTTCTTTTATTCTTTGAAGTCTCTAAATCCATATTTAATGTCAGTTCCATCAGGCCTGCAGATCAGTTTGACACTCTGACACTGACATTTCTGATTAGCAAAACAGTAAAAATATAAAGACTTGACAGATCAGTTCTTACCTTTCTGTAAAGTTAAATGCTGATCAGAGTGCAGGACTGTCTGTACCTGGGTTGAGAGGTTCTCCGAGCAGCCACCTGCTGGAATGAACCAGCCCACTCGCCACTGTAAAAAACAAAGATTAACACCTCCCTTTAGCATCTTGTGATGTCACACAGGCAGGTGAGCATTTGTAATTTTGAAGGCGTGTCTATGCAGAGTAAGGAGGGCAGGAGTGCGTACATGTAGATACAACTTGGGTTTCGCACATGTTTCTGTTTTGCATGTCCAGATCAGTTAATACAATGCACACAGCTGAGTGCAAAAGTCTTGAGCCACACCTTATTCCTTTTGTTCCATTCTGTCGAGATGATCCCACACTGCTTTAATAACACTAAAGTGTTTCAGTTATTGGCATATCAAAAGAATAAGTCTCTGATAATCAGATGCTTTCCAGATGATATTACATGGTGGATCACAAAATCACAGTACTTTTCTGCTCATTGTTCCGCTAGTTTTTGACGACGTCTCCAACACCACTGATTGAAATGCAGCCTATGACAGAGCCTCCACTGTGTTTCACAAATGCTGTTGGACCTCTCTCCTCCATACATGTTGATGATGACTTGAAACAGAAATTAAAAATTTGGATTCAATCAGACCTGTTGAATCAGTTTAGAGAGCATTTCTGACAAGGCGTTAGTGAACATTAGATGGATCAATTTAAGGGTCAGATATTCAGGTCTCTCAGGTTTTTGAAGAACCTGATTTTTTGGTATTGTTCATCTGCTGTAGATGGTACTTTCTACATAACTAAACATTAACATTTTATATCTGTCTAAAGACAATATTTTTTAGTTTCACACACTCACACACACAATTTAGAAAAATTTGTAAAAAAAAAAAAATACAGGTAAGATTAGTGCTTGAGTAACCTTGATATGCATCTGCAAGCTGCTTTGCAACCCAAGTGCACTCTGTGTCTGACTTAATCAAAGTCATATCTGTTCTCATTGATGCCTGCTCCGTTCTGGAGGTTTATACTATAGCCGTGCTGTTAGATACATCATAAATAAATGCAACACATCAGTGTTCTTTTGACTATATGTAAATACATTTCTGTTATGCATCCTGAAATGATTTTGGTTACAAATTTCATCAGACTGATTCAGCAAGCGTGAACGGAGAAAATGCAGAACAGTAAAAACGTAGCCGCTAACCCATAACCAGTGTGTTATGGGATTAGCTGTGATTTATAGGACTTGAACAGGAGGCTCAAAAAACAGTGCATAATAACAAGGCCGGAGCGGTCACACTGAGAATGTTACAGGTAAGAGTGTGAAGGAGCACATGCATGAACATCTGCTGGTAACAACACCAGCAGAAACGGTAATAATTCTAAAAATGTTGCAACAGCCAGCAGAATGTTAACTTAAATGTTTCCAAGGACGAGCTTTATTGGAGGCTTGGTTGCCATGTCACTTTCTTCACGTCATCTTTACAATCTCAAAAAGCTCTCAGCCTTTTGATTTCACCGCTCGTCATACATTTATGTCGTTATTATGCTTCAGGTGGAGTCTCTGTCTGAGTGATGGCGTGGGACCTCTACCTGTGAGGTTTGATGTTTCCTCGCAACTTTCCTTAGTTGACGAGGAATCGGTTTATTTGGTGTCAGCCTGTGAATCAGTCCTTCTCTTCGGCCTTTGGCTGTGCACGAAAAAGAAAACAACGTTTAGCTCATCCGCCTGCGTTCACAACAACGAGTTAACAACTGGTGAACTCAGTGCTTTCTTGTGCCTCTCCTTTTGAAAGGTCTAGTGTAAATTCCCTTATTCCCAGCGCTCAACTCAAACATCTAATCTCTTACTTAATAACTGCTCTGCTATTTCAATCTTCTTCCAGGACCTAAAGCATGACTCAGGTTTCAAACAGGGAATTCTTTTGCCTGCAAGCCTGTGTGTGGTGGTGGAGAAAGCATTCATAAATCTTACTTTGATAGTACATGCAATGCAATCCTTTTCATATAGCTACAAACAAATCTGGGACTATGGAAATTAGAGCCTGCTGTTAGGTCAATAACCCCCTTAAGTGTTTATAGTATGAATAGTGGCAAGTAGATGCCACAAATGGCTGAAAGACTGACTTGTGCCTTTAAGTATACCTGTCATTACAGCTAGCCTCGTGTTCTGTGCAGACGGTGGATGCTCATATTAAATGGTTTAAATAGTGAGGTCAGCGCATGGGTACGTAATCCCTATGAGCCAAAAGCTCAGGCTTCGCACTGCTCCAAACAAAAGGTAGACGTAGCCAAAGCGTTACTACTCACTGGTTCCTGGACTTCATTTTGAAGCTTTGCTGGTGCCATGTTGTTTTCATTTGGAGTCACAAGTGACCATATTTGGACAAGAGCGCTTTGAGGGCCCCGAAAAGCACTATATAAATGCAATCCATTATTATTAAGAGAGCGGGGTGCCATGTCCCGAACTAACTGCCCGGCTAGATGCATCTATTAGAGTCACACGTCATGCACGGACACAGATACCTGCTCATTAGTCTTAAGAAACAGATTGGAAAAAATAGAAGAAGTGGAAACTTTCTGTACTGCACAGCAGCAAACACAATCATGAGGTCCAGTTCTGGGAATTGGTGGAAGTGAGGCCCACCTGAGAGCCATCAGCTACCTTATGTTAGCACACCTGTCACCACACCCCTAACTTTAAGTCACTGTCCAAACAGCTGAGCTCCAACATTCATCCATCACACAGCCGAATAGTTTTTTCTACTCTTGGCTCTGTATGATGTCAGTGAGGGCAGATATTTACCTGCTAATAAGATATATGAGGATTACTTTGAATTGTGAATCATGCAAAGCTGCTCTAGTATTGAGAAATAGGGAGCTGGAAATAAGCTCTAAGTATGAAGTACCCTTCATGTAGTTAAAAAAAAAAATAGTTAAAAGATGTTATAGCAGCCTTTAGTCTCAGTGTAGGGGAAACTCACTGATTTTCATATTTTTTAACCATTCAGAAAAAGATCAAATCTCCTTTATCAGACCTCTCTCACTCTGACGCACAAACGCTTCGTCAGCCGACCCATCTGTGAATACTCCTTCATTTCTGCGTCGACTGAATCAAAACACAATGATGCATGTGAGGAAAGCTTGTTGTTGGCTTCCCCCTGCAGAGACAAGACTTATCAACAGTTTTTTTGTGTGCTTTTCAAACAGCGTGATAAAACAAATCTTTTAAAAATATTTTAACCCAGAAAACTGAGTTTTACCCTGTAAAAGAATGATCTTTTCCTTACTGTACCAAAACAACAGTAAAAAGTGAATGAAAGAAACTTTCCACACAAAAAGCCGGTTAGTTTGTGCCATGTCTTCTGCATCCTGTGGAAGAGGAACATGTGCTTGTATAGGTTGTTTATCATGATAGAAAACATCATTTTGCTGGACTTTGTGGTTCATTTTGGTTGTGAACTTAACCCTCCACTGTTTTGCTGGGACAGCACTATATGTTCACTGGCTCCTGCTGCAGGAAAACACATTAATGCCAGTTATTTGACACCTTAGCAAAATCTGCAGACTCAGAAGGCAAAGTACATGAAATGACTCAGTGCTTTTATTTTTCTAGTTGGGGCACAGTGGGGGGTCCTCACATTAAATTCCTCTGGGTGTCTAAGAGTATGTCTGCCAGTTTTTCTGCTTATGAACCTGACTGCATTTTTTGAAAGTGAACACATTTTAGTGTGTGTGTGTGTGTGTGTGTGTGTGTGTTCCCTTGTGTCTGCGTGCATGCTAATGTTACGTGTGCATGAAGTTGGTGGGTTAACAGGGGTCTCAGCAAAACGCAGACCCATAACAAATCACCTCATTTCCAGGAAAAAGAAATAATTTGTTCCCAATAAAAATGATCCACAAAAATACATGAGAACAGTGTGCACGGGGCTCTGATCAAACGTCCGCTTGCAAAGCCAAGGCACAAAATTAAAGAGGCCAGAAAGATTTCAGGGTGTGAAATGCAGACACTGGCTGCTTTCTGAGCAGAGATGCTTCCAAAGAAGTTCTAGAAAAAGGAAGAGATTTTCAAATGATAAAAGATCAGCCAAAATCTTTTCTTGTAGCAGCTTTAAACAGACAGACTGCATCAGAGAAAAGGTGAAAAGGGGTAGACATCATTTTCTGAATAATTTAATGTTTATTTTAAGTGAGGCTTCAGTTTTATGCTGATTTATTTATCTTGATCTTGAATTTCCCATTTAGACTAAAACATGTACTTCTGAAACGTGCCGACTAGCAAAATCTACATTTATTATGTGATATGCATTTAAACTGTGCATCGAGAGGAAAAGCTGTTTACTTTCTCCTCATTTTTTGGACTTTCTTTTTGCCTTTTATGGGATGTGCCTCTGGGTGTCCACTCAGGAAGTCCTGATGGTAAATCTGGCCGTGGCCCCAATCCCACATTTGTTTCCTCTGTGTGCATGTCTGTGTTTGCGTGTGTGTATCTCTTGAGCATCTGTGCAGCGTGTGTGTGTGTGAAAGATTGCATGCATGTAGTGTGTATACCGGCATTTGTGAGGCTGTGTAGTTGGCATGAAATGATCCAGAGTGTATCTTCTTCTTAAAGGGAGAATAAGCAAACAAACAGTGTTGCAGTAGGAAGCTGTTTAACAGCTGCTGAGGTTTGGTTCACTGCAGTTCAGTGATAATGACTGTTAGAGCAGGAGCCGCCGCGCTGGACATCCTGCTCCGATTTCACCTTGATTACACGTGCTTGTCGTTCATGTTCGCTACATGACTTCAGCGGAGAACGCAATCTCTCTCCTTTTCTCAGGTGGAGAATTTATTCAACTTGTACAGAAGCGCAGATCATAAATAAACATTGGCAAAATCAAGTATTTAACTCTTTAAAGCAATATGAAAACCTGAAAAATCTCAAAAGTTTTTTCAGTAATAGTCCATGCTCAAAGGCTTATGATGAGCCACCACCCACCACCATGGATTTATCACAGAACTGGAAACAAGATTTTTAAAAACTGACTCATCTGGGGGAAAGCTGCTTAGTGATAAATAAAAGCACCAGAGAAAGTTTTCCAAGCCTCCACCACGGGGTACCCGAGCGTGCCGACATTAAAGGTGCAACCGATGATCAGGGGAACCAAACCGAACTGAAGACATTAGCTTTCTGCACTTTAAGGTTGACTACACAGCTGGTCAACACGAGCGGTGAAGGAGAACATCAGAAAAAGTTTTCACATTTTTCCAGAGGAAGTGCATTTACATCTGGAATGGCTGAGGATGGTATTCCCTCCTTTATTGGCAGCTGGGGCTTTGGATAAGCTGGTGGCGTTGGCTCAAGTTAGAAAAAAGACTTAAAACTTCCTGCTGACGTTTTAACCAGTAGACATCGAACAGCTTTTTATTTAATTTTCCTAATTATTTATTTTTAAAAACAGTCAAAATCTTCATGAGTCCATGAATTCAAGTTTTTGGTTTTTCTTTTTGTTTTCTCTTGTTGCTCTTTCAGTGACCATTGCTTTGCTATGTGATCTTATAATTGTTTGCAGATTAAGGAATTACTCAGTTTTCCTTGGTAACGGAGCAAAAATGAAATGAACACCAGACAGCTTGAGGAGTTCCTCCACTACAACATTAATTCCCTAAGCTGAATGAATGTAATATTTATAAGGTATATAAACAAGATTTTACTGATGCAGTTCCTCACACGTTAATCATTTAGAAAAAAAATATGCGCGGGGTGTGAAGTTTTTTCGGCTTCTAAAGTCAGGCGTGCAAAGGAAACGTTGGTGAGTCACTGCAGCGTCACTTTGAGCTGCAGTCAGTTTTGCTTGAAGACAAACGCCGATTAAGACACGCTGCCTTGCTTAGCCTTGCTCTGAGGGCAGCTCTGAAGCAGTTGCTGTGTTCGTGTGTGACCGAGTCTTCTTTGGATTACAGAAGATTTTCTTTAGCCCGTATTACTCGACTGTATAGAAAACAGCTGAAATTTCAAAATGTTTTTGCATTTAGATAGTTACACACAGACACACGCTCATATACCGACCAAAGAAAAAGAAAGAAAGAAAAAGCGCTAAATCGTCAGGAGGGAATTTTGGGCTGAGTACACTGGCCGGGGATCCGTGAGGTTCCAGTAATTTCACTGTGTCTCCTGTTTCATTCAGAAGCAACTGTTATGTGCTGCATGTGTGAGTTTCATAAGCATTCTTATGTCATGGCTCATGAGGCTGTGATGTGACGCTAATCTAGCCCAGCACCACCAGGGGAAACAGCTACTTTATACTGGCTCTCAACCACAGCGGACCATTTGGCGAACTTTGTAGGTTTCCATCTTCACTATTGATTCTTCTCTCACTCTTCTCTTTCTCGTCTCTTTCATTTTAATATTTGTCTTAACGATATTAAACAAATGAAGAAATCATTTTGTTGTATCACAGCCAATTGTGACCCCATTTGGGACTTTGTTACACCCAAATGCAAGCGGGCCTAATCTGTGCTGAAAGCAGGGCCCTGATTTGAACACTTTGTATACCTGTATCAGGGCTGACTTTCAGAGTTATTTCAGTCACAAAAAAAAACTGCCAGTTTTTATCCAAGAAGCTGATGAGCCATAGATTTACAGTAGCCTCAATCAAAATGTTAGTTTGTTCAAAGTTAGCTTCACTTAACCTCCCCAGTGATTAAAAATGCATCACAAATACACAACAAGCGTGAACCAAAGACAGCATGACTGCAGTAATAATGCTGCACACAGTGCAATGGGCCACCTGTACCTGAACATCAATCGTTCCTCAGCATCTTCACCTTCTGACCAGCCGCTGTGTGGTGGGTGTTTTTTTCTGTTTTATTAACAGCACAGAACCCAATTTTTAAATCACAGCACGTCACTTTAAAAGCAATCATTATTGAGGTATTATTGTTATTTTAGCGTGCTTTCTTTTATTTCCTGGACTGGGATTTTTAGCCCTGTGACATTTAGCTCTGTTGTGTCGTGCAGTGGTTTATACATTTGCCTTACAAGTAAAAGATCACTGGTTTGGTTCAAGGTGGAAATATAACTCCCTTTGGGGAAGTGTCAGAAAGGGAGTCTGGTGTGAAACATCTGCCTTATCAGTCAGTGGTTGCTTGCTGCCCATCTAATGTATAAATACAAATTGTTTGTAATATGTTGGCAATCTGATGTAGTCTTAGCACAACACATCAGCGATGCGTCTCTTTGCAAAAGAGACTTGACTCAACTTAACTCATCTGGTTGTATTCCTGAATAAAAGTAATATTGCCAAAAGCCTATGTCGCTTTGCAGTTGGATTTCCATCCTGAAGCAACTATGTCACAATTTGTGGAGGAATTTTTTAATTTCTTTTTCAAATCTCAAAATTTTTCCTTCTGGACTTCTAGGCGTGAACTTCTGTTTGTGTATGTACATGACAACAGACAAGTTATTTGTCACAGTTAATTGCAATGTTATCACAAATTGCATGTAATCGCCAACTTGATCCCATTCACTCACAGACTGATAACAGACCGATTCCATTTCATTGCATTTTATGGTTAATTTGATGCATCAAAGTCACTTTGAAGACAGGAGGTGATAGCCGCTAGTTAACCATTAGTTAACTTACTACTGTTAAAAGCTCCGTTTAGCACTCATATATACTATATTAAACTGTCTGCTGACCCTGTCTCTTTCATTAACTCTTTAAAATCCAACAATTCTGTTTAAATCTTAAAAGCTTCAGTAAGCTTCAGGTATCAACTGACAACTTAAGACTTACTGACTGTGCCATTTGCCCTCCAGCTTTGTGGACATGAAGCACTTCCTGTATAAAGGCTAATTTACACCATTGAGCTATGATCTCAAACACTAACATAGATGGGACTCTGTCAGTACAGATTGTGGCATCATCAGGTTGATTGGCTGGTTGCGGTCAATAGACTTACATTAGTTTATGTTAGTGGACTAATGACATAACCAATAACTCAGGGAGAACAAGGTGACTTAAACTAAAAGTAAGTTTAAGGGGGGCCTTTTATTATTCTGGCTGTAACAATGAGGTTTATGTTAAAACCGAGGATACACTGTCCACTTTTTTAGGGGGCAGACTTTGTCGTACGTTACAAAAAGAAATGTGTTTCAGAAATTTTGTTCTGTTTACATTTAAATGAGAAAAAATTTCAAATTTCTTTGGCAAAACTGTTGTGTTGCTTTTGATGTTAGGGGAGAAACCCAACCTCCTAGAGCTAACGTGGACAAACATACAAGTTCAACACATACAGGAAGAGCCATCTAGCTAGTGCCAAGAACTGTTTGCCTGCATGCAGCCAAAGCAAAGGCAGTCGTGACTGGTCAACATTTCTTTGACCACAAATGGAAACCAGAAAGCTTCCAGTAACAAAATCAGATCCCCTTTCCTAAAGACTTTGCATGTCCATGTGCTGATGTGAGTTTATAGAGTTTAAAAACCAAAATCAGCATTTTTAAATCAACTTTTTTGTTAACCTGTGTAGATATAATGCTACCTTACATATTTTTTCCCTCAAAGCGGAGACTGCTTTTCACTGAGCCTATTCTAGAAATGTTTCTGCGCATTAATATTGCATAACAACTGGCGCTGGCGCAAATAACCTGGCAACTGCACACCACAAAAGTGCTGGGCCCAAAGTTGGAACCACTGTCATCTGTGGTTTTGGGAGGTGCTATCCCATGAAATTCACCAAAGATTCATGGATACTGTCTGCAGATTCAGTCCATCATGTTTTCTTCCCATGTCTGTGGTCCTAATTTTATCTACGTAACATTAAACAGTGTTTGGTTCTTGAACCTGTGGAAATAAACCTGTATGCAGAAGAGATAAAGATCTATCAACAGCATCTTTGTAAATCTGAAATAATCGATGCTCAAAATGAGATACCGACATGACTGCATGAAGCAAATTAAGTAAATGCCACTTTTCAACTTTTACAACTTTCAGTTGAACGCAATCCCTTTAGGATCACCACTTTTTCACATGTATCACCACAAATTATTACTTTCCTGCACCAAAAACTAAATGGAAGAGTGGAACAGCATGGTTTATGGTGCCCACTATGGATCCACAGCAATCCAGGCTTAAACACTGTGATCCCCATTTCTGTCCATTTCATCACAGAATATGTAGACGTTAATCAAACAGGCTCAATTCACACGATGTTAAAAGATTACAATCTCTATAAGCCTATGGGGGTTTTAATCACAGATTAAATACTTTATAAAACTTTGTTTTATGGTGCCATGTTTAGAGTTTGGATCTATAAAATTAAGGTGTCTGAAACAGACAAAAAACACTTGCCTTAATCTATTTGTTTACTGGCCATTATACAAGCTGTGTAAACAGCCTCTTAGGTACCTCAATAAAAGCATGTCTGTGTTCACCCAGCTAGTATGCTAATGTCTGAAGGGGCCTTGTTTGGAGCTACCACTGTACCTTCCTGTCTTCATTGCTAACTTGGTTTTGTTTCTTTTGTAACATATCCGTTCCCTTTCTTGCACAACTATGTCATTACTTTTCAAGTTCAAGAAATCTGATCGTTGATTTAACATCCAGTCTTTAACTTGCCAAACTCTCTTTTTTCTGTAACGGACAAAATGATTCAACCTCTCAGAATCTCTTGGAAATATCTTTGTTGAAACAATCTCATTCCAACTGCACTAAAAATATCATCGACTTCAAGAGTTGTCTTGCGGTCTTGGGCTCACAAGTTGGGTTTGAATATCAGGTCCAAAGTTTCCAATCAGATTGACAGCATTCTGCGGGGCGATTGTTCAGATCTTAGCATGAGGTCGAAATTCAATGATATGACTACAGCTTGCTTATTTAGCCTAATTCAACCACAATCTCCATCAAGAAAGTCTTGGCTCTGTTTTTCTTCAACCTCTGTTCTGCGGTAAAAATAGCCTTTAACACAGGCGAAGAGTTCAGAGTCAGGAAAACAACCTTGTTTAGAACATTTAATGAGAATTGAAGCTCACTGACAAACTTATGCTCGCAAATCAACACAGACCACAAATGCACATCCTTATTGCTTTGTGCTAAAGTCACTTACTTTTTTGATGCACTCAAGTCCAGAAGAAGAGCGGCCACTGAGGCTTATATGAGGCGTTCCGATCTTGGTTTTCCCCCCAGATGTTTTTCCTCATATTTTACTATTTAACTAGCTCTAAAAAAAAAACAAAAAAAAAAACAAACATTGCAGCATTGCTCCTCACAAAGGTTGTGTTGGTGTCTGTGCTCTAGACTCTCATTGTACATTAAACCCCTTCCTGGAATGTCTTACCTGATGGCACGTGGAGGACAAAGTCCCATCTGAGTGTTTTGCAATCTGTAAGCTGGAGCAAGTTTGCGAGAGGTACTGGGGGCTGAAAACCTTCCCAAAATTTGAAAATAAACTTCAGAAAATATTTGTTTTACTACAGTGATTTAGTAGAAGTATTTGTCTCCAAGGGTTCACTTGGTTCTGAGAGAGCAATATGAGAAATTGTTCATGCTAAGTGGAATGTGTAAGAGGATGCTACTCATCCACTCGGCCTTGTTAAAACAGTTGCATAATCACCAACTGAGGTAAATATGCTCATCGCACAGTGCTTCTGAAGCTACTGTTGAAGCTTTACTTGGGTGATTAAAGGAAGCTTCTCAGTCAATTGCCAGTAGTACATCAATGATACTGGTGTAGAGACGATTTTAACTGGTTTTGAATCAGCCCAATAGCATTCCTCTTATGATTTATGAGGTGGCACTCTCTGTGTTGTTGTTTTTTTTCCAAGTCAACTAATTTACTATGAAAAAGATAAGAAGTGCAACTGGTTGTCTGCTAGTCAGAAGTTTAGTGGTTCAATCCAGGTTTACACCAGTTTGCATTTTCATGTGGGCAAACTACAGAACCCCTTGTTTCCAATGTATTTGTCAGAGTGTGAGTACGTATGTGCAAATGTTAGACAAGGTATAGAAGAGCACGCTTGCATGGATGTGATTGTATTGAAAAGTGCTGTACAAGTACCGGTCCATCTAGTTTCATGCTACTACATCATCCCTAATACTGTGCAGATGACATTATGAACTTTTTCTCTTATGCTGTCACTGTCCGTAGACATCGATCGTCGGTCCTTTGGTTAAAACACAGCAGTCGCACATCCTAAACTCAAGTCTACATAGCATGAGAAAGACAAATTAAAGGTCAGGCCTTCAATTCTGCACAGCTTTGGAAAATTCTCTGGAGTTTATTTGTAGATTGAAACAGTGGAAGAGACTTGTAAGTGTTTCCAGCCATTTGGGTTTTTCCATGGTTTCCACTGGCTTTTTGGTCTAGTCAGCATCTTCGGGATGTATACCTTTTTTTGGTTGTCAACCGAAGATACGTTCTGTGCTCGGTTCTCTCTCGCAGGCCTTTCATTATCAGATTCTGAAACTGCAAATAAAGTCTGCTATTACTGATCGTTCCTTCTCTCAGATGGCCGCAGTGATGACAAATTGAAAGAACGAGGGTAGGAAACAGATAATGGTTATTTGTTTTGGATAATGCAACAAGCAGGGGCAACTTCAAAGACAGGATTAAGGATTGCACAGTGAAGCATTGAAGCACAGTAAGATGAGAGGTGCTGTGGGACTCTCAGCATTAGGCAGCTGGATAACAAGCAAAAGAAACCCTGTGAACCCAGACACTCGAGAGCCTCGGTCAACATAAAACAGAAATAAAGGAAATATATTTTCCTCTTCTGGAAGCGCTGAAGTGGGTGTTGAGTCATTTGAGTGAAAAAAGGATGAGGAAACGTTGAAAAGCTGCATCTGTGTGAATGCACAACTCACAGGGGAACAGCAATAAAGGCTTTGCTGAAAGGTCTGGAGATTTATAGGCTCTGGATAACTGATCTGCATCGAGATGCTCAGCTGTAGGAAAGAAAAAAGACAGTGCGTAGCAGCCAGTGGATGAAAAACTGAGAAACCGCTGCAGCGCTGCACTGAGTCCCTTGCCAGTGTGCGGTAGTGTGGTAAGATCCATCTGGGGCCTGACCCTGGGGCAAGTGGTGAACAGAAAGGGTCACAAGACAGCTGCCTGCCAAACCAGCCCGGTACAGTACACCACAGTATAGACAAACCGTTTCCCCTTTCTGTCACTCTTGAACTCTGATTCTTGGACTTTCTCTTTCCGCCTTGAGGCTCCGCTCTGCTGCACCAAAAAGTGACGCCATGTGTCATTTGCAGCCACAGTGCATTAACCTACATCCGGGACATGAACAGTTCTATACTGACGAGTAGATAGTTGGACACCTTGTAAGTTTTTGTCCGAAATCCAGCTGTAACTAATTAACCTAATAATCTGATAAATCCGTGCATCCATCTATCTGTTCTTCGGCTCTCCCAACTACACCTTCATCTCACCCTGATAAGGGCGATGCCATGTTTAAGGTAGTTTGGATAAGAGGTTCTCATAGTTTGGTAAAAGTTTTTCTCTGTTACTGCCTGCTCCACTCTGTGTGTAGGGGGCGGGGCATACATCTGAAACAGGCCTTTGAAAGATATGTAAAAGCATAAAGAGCTTTTCCAACCTTCCCATTCCAATCTCTAAATCTCCCAAAGACAACTGGCCACATTTGGTTGATTTACTGTCTTTGGCTTCTGGTTGTCATTGACACCACGCACTCACTCATCTTGTCTGTATGAGCAGTTTTTAGGAGAAGGCTCAGAGCCACGGTCAGTCACCCAACATTCAGTGAATGTAACGTATTCCGTTACATTACAGAATAGAATAGAATCCATTTATTTCAACAAAGTAACTGTATTCTGAATATCACCCTTTTAAACGGTAACTGTAACGGAATACAGTTACACGTATTTTGTATTTTAAATACGTAACACTGGTATTCCATTACTCCCCAACACTGATGACAATATTAAGAGAACTTCGACTCTCCACAGTCAGCAAATATGAGAATTACAATTCCAAATAAATCAGTTTTTAAAAATCTCAATTTTTCTCTGTCTGAAAAGAAATGAAACACTGATCTGTGTGAGAAGAGAATTTCCCCAACAAATTCAATTTATAACAAAGTTTCATTAGCTGGATGTAGATTTTTTTTCTACCTGGCAACCACTAAAATCATTTAGTTTCAAGGTTTATGTCCACATGGTAATGTTTAAGTAGGAGTTTGTCATTGATATCGTTTTTATGTAGCAGCTGGAAATTCAAACATTTATGTTTACAATGAATAAGTCACGAATAACAGTCTCAGTGCTGCAGTCACATATCCAGTTGATCATGGAGAGGGCCCTCAGGCACGGCCCGGCTTCATTCTTAACACTGCTGGTTCCTCCAGCTGGGCCTACAGCCTCAACAGCATCGCACACTCTACCCCACCTGTGACAATAAACAGCTTTATTACCTCCTCCCGTCCACTGACGCCATTTAATGCTTTCACTGGTCTCATACTGCGGACAGATCAACCAGCGATATGCAACTCTCCCATGCATTTACGTCACACGACCCCCTATAGGAGAACTCGTACTGACTGCTGTACTTATCAGCCTACTTATTTGTATTTATGTTACTAAGTTTCTTTACTCCTTTATTGTAAACGCAGTCCTGAGTGATGCTATTTATCGATCTAAACATGTGATATGTCAAACTGAAATAGTTTGAAAACTCCAACGTCATGATTGAGCTGCTGAATCTGCACAAGATTATGTGTTTACACAACTAAATCGTTTTCTCTGTTGTGCAAAAGTGACAAATTTTTGAAAGCATGAGTCACGTATGTGCGTCACAAGTCATCTGCTTGTCTAGCACGGTGGTGTGGTGGTTAGCACAGTTGCCTCATAGCAATAAGGACTTGACTTCAAATCCAGACTGAGGCCTTTCTGTGTGCTGTCTCTGAAAAAGAGCAAAGCTACACATGAAGCGAGGACTTTTTTTTTTTAAATACGTAATTTTGATGTTCCACAAAAGATAAATATACCTGAAGATGTTTGTGTGGATTTGTAAAAATGTTTTAAAAACGATGTAGGCGTGTTGCATACTGTGGTTTGAGTATTCAAGAAAAGAACCAGTCCATTTAACTGACTGTATCTTGAATTTACTGCAGTGGTTTGTCAATGATAATGACTTTTCTTTGATTATTTTTCTAAGAAGAAAAACATTAATTCACCCTGTTCTTTATATTTATCACCTGTGCCCAACTCTGAGACCCACAGACTTATGTTATCTTTTACTTCACCTGATTCAGCCACATCCAAAACTCAGTATCATTTTCTCTCTCTCTCTTTTCTTCCACTTTTTGTTCATTTTCAAGCTCTCGACAGATCCGACTGATGAATAAATAAGTGAAGGGCTACGATTAAAATATGACGCACGCCACGCTGAGTTATAAAGTTTGGTAAAACAAACCAAAATCTTGAAATCATAAATGGCCTGTTTTATTTTTTAATAATAAATTGCATTTATCATTAGAGTGAATTTGTTGCATTTCTGTTTAAATTGAGTAAAAGAGTCATGCATATCAAATTCCATTAACATGATGCTTCCATGTGTTTATTTATTTAGAGCCTGCAACTGTAAAGATGCCGGGGCCTAACTGAGAAGGTCCATCGTCTGGTGCTGGCCGTGTTTTTCATGCTTTTATGCTTTCTGTGCCTAAGCACTAAGAGCAAAGACACTTGGATACTTTGCCATGCAGACAGGAGCAGCCAGAGATCAAACCAACCTCCGATTAGTAGATAACCTGCTCTAGTTAATGTCATATTGTCTGATTGTATTTTTTAAATCAGTATCAGAGACATGGTTGCTGGGTACCAGCTTTCATTTATGAGACTTCGTATTACTCAGTTCCTAGCTGCGTAGAGTAACTCAGAAGTATAGTCCATTGAGGACGAAATGACTGGTCAGACAGATTAATTGATCTCAGATGTGTGAACGGTTCCAGTCCTGGTGAGAGAGTTAATTCTTCTCCCTATTTTACAACCTCTGGCTTATTCACACATTTCTATATTTGTGTTTTTATTTATTTATTTATTAATTTTTTAGTGGGGCCATATTCTGGCCAGTCCTCAGAATTCGCTTTAAGTCCCACAGACTCATTAAATTGATTGATTGGCTGCTTAGAGATTTGCTTTTTCCATCAGTTTATTTACCTGCTTTGGAGCATATGTGAGTTTGCACTCATATGGTAACACGACCTCTCTTTTTTTCCCTTCCAGCTAAAATGTATACACCATACGTCACTGTGGAGTGGGAGTTAATGTTCCTA